AAGTAAATGCTTCGTAGTTACAAAGGAGCAAAATACTTCGCAGGCTTTTAACAGTGAGTGGACTCCAACCCGCATCTGCCGCAATTTGCCCCCCCCCCCCCGCAAATATAAGTTTATCGTTGAATGTGGCCATCCGGAAAGCCTAAGCTGTCGTTGAGCCAGTTGGGTACTAATGGGTAAAAATAATGGACCAACTAAAACTCAAGTTCCAAGTTTTTGACTGCGAATAAAATTTAATTCACAATCGACAGTCATGACTGTGTATAATATTTTTTGTGCTTAATCGCAGTTGAGTCTGCGAATAGTCTTCTCGACTGTATTCGCAGTTTTGACTGTGAGTAACTGAACTAGTCTTATTCACAGCTATGACTGCGAACAGTTTGACAGTCGCTGCATGCATTCACGACTGTCAATAACAGCGGCCAACAGCAAAATCTGAAATATGGGTGATGGGTGATGGGTTCCAGTTTTGATTGGAAGCCCACCTTCATTCTTTTTTTCCTTGGCCCAAGTCACTTGGCCAAGTTCACGCCCGTGCGCGCTACAAGCCACGAGCACCATATCTACCATGTTGTTGTCGTTACAGTATTGTGATTGTTGCCTCCGTCTATAAGTACGATTAAATCCTATTCAAACACTACCTGCTAGTAGTCATTTCCATGACATCACCCAGGAAAAACCTTTCTTAAGTAAATTCCTCTTGAACCAACACGAGGTTTTTCTGGGCCAATCCAGGCCAGTGACGCAGCCTGGGGTATCGCCGCCTTCCGATACTCTCTGCAGTTGGACCTCAGTGGCGGAGTAGTGACTGGTTTATCTGTTCCGGAAGAAAAATCTCATGCAGCTTGATTTCCGTTCTTCTTAATTTTTGCGGAGTCGCAGTGGGAATGTGGGATTCTCTATCGTGCGGGGATTGGTATGCCAAGAAAGGGACAGCTGTCAGTATATCACATGTATTTCAAATAAATCTATTTCTAGAGCTTACCTAACTAGCACAAAATCTACAAAGGTTGTGTACAAAAAAATGGACTAGAATAAGGATGACACAGAGTGTTGACAGCAGTATTTCGAAAAGCGTTCAGGTAAACGCCAGAAGAGTGGTGGGAACGAACAGGCTGCGAGCACCTGCAGCACCCGGGGTAGGCAACATGCCGCACTTGTGTGCGGCGATGCTGCCTATCCTACTGAGCGCGCACCGCGAACAACTTCCGTCAAAAATAATAAACAAAATGGCGATAGCGAGATCAAACAACACCAAGTAAACAAAACTGCGGAGGTGGTGAAGTTTCCTCCAGTGAGCGAGGACGGCGACGCTAAGTTCAGGACAGAGCGTGTCCGGTGATGGGCGAGACGCGCATATTGAGAACGATGGCTTCAGGCGTGGCGGACGGGGACGTAAGCGTGGTCATGTTGCTGTCTTGGGACGACGTGTGTTGCAGTCTGCTCAAGAGATACATTAGTTAGAAAACTAGTTAGTTCAGTAAGAAAATAATTTTAACAAAGAGAAAAAACGGGTAAAACGAAAAAAAAATAACAGAACAGCAAAGCCTGCAGTCCCCTAGCCAGTTACCTGCGCGCGTCCTGGTGCAGCGTGAGGGAGCTGGTGATGGTGCCAGCGCCCCGGCCGCGGCCCCGGGGGCCCGCACCGCTGCGCCCGCCCCTGCTGCCGCCGGGGTCACTAGCGTCACCGGCGAGGCGATCCCTGATCAGATGCAGTACCTGGGGGTGGGCGAGGGGACGGGGTGTCAGCCGCAGAAGCATCGCCACACAGACACACAGATAGACAGACACGAAACACGAACACACACACACACGCGCGCGCGCGCGCGCGCGCGGGCAGACTCACCTTTCTCTTGCAGCAGAAGATGATGAAGATGAAGACGGCCCGGAGGAGGTTGATGACGTCCGTGGCGTACCAGTAGTAGTCGCGGCCGCCCGCCGCCCAGCTGATGATCTCCGTGACCCACGTGAGGCCCATGAGGCAGAAGAGCTTGACGTAGAGCACCAGCCTGCAGGAGGGCCGAGAGAACGAGTGAAAACTGGAGGAAACTGGGTCGGTGAGGCTGTGGACAGCGGCGAGCGCACGACGGTAGCTCGGGTTCAACTCGCTACGCCAGAGGCCCAGTGAGAAATGAACGTTGGGACGAAGGTAGAACGGTACCGCCTTCGAGTAATTTTTGCTCTTCAGACGTGCGTCCAATACCGTCCCTGTGCCCTCTTTCTCACTGGAGTTTGTTCAGTACACTCCTCACTCAGTATCGGCTTCATGTCTCCGCGTGAAACTCTACCTCTGTGTTTCGGCGCCGGTGTGCCGCTGCGAGTGGTCCGACTTGTGCAGGATGGCGGTGTCCTTGCGCACGGCCAGGATGCGCGCCGCAGTGTACACGAACAGCACGAGGTTGGCCAGCAGCAGGAACGCCATCGGCCCGTAGAAGTACAGCAGCACGGCGGTCGTCTCTGGTGTGCATTCGACAAGTTAATCAATGGCCTAATGTCATCGAAAGAATGAGCGCGGAGATCAAGAACAGGCATAGGCATGTGGCTCACCTTTAAACCAGCAGTTGACGACGCCTATCTGCGGGTGCAGAGCGTGCGAGGCGGGGAGGAAGTTGAGCGCCACGGTGGTGAGGGTGATGGCCGCCGTGCTGCCCCACGCGTACAGCGAGTACCAGAAGAACTTCTTCCGGTCGCGTTCGGCCGCGCTGCCCTGGGGGAGGCGCAGACCGCTGTACGCAGAGAGAGGAGATTAACGATCGGTGCAAGTTTTTTGGCTGGACCTCAAAGAGTTTTAAGAGAGGCGCAAGTAACGCCACTAAAGTCCGTGGTGCTGTTTACCTAAACGCCCAGGAGATGTCGATGCACATGACGTTGAGCCAGAAGAAGGCCGCCAGGAACGAGAACTGTAGGACGAACGCTGTGGATACAGAAGCGAGGGTTGGTGCGATGCGTTGGAGCAGACAACATCTCTCAGCGGCCACGATAGCACTCACCGAGGACGAGGCAGGAGACCTGCGACGGCGCCGGGCTGGAGAGCGCGTTCACGCTCAGGGCGAGGTAGGCGAGGAGCAGCGACCCGGTGTGGGCCATGAGGTTGCTCGAGTGCAGGCTGCGGCGCAGCTCGGGCAGGCACGCGTGCACCAGCAGGGTGGCGGCCAGGAACACGGCGCCGGTGGCGGCGAGCACGCCGTACAGCGTGCGCTGCCAGAAGGGTGTGGACAGGACGTCCGGGTCCGCGCACACGAGCAGGTTGGCGGCGCGCAGGCCCGTCTCGTTGTCCAGGGCCACCTCACCGCAGAAGGAGCCCGCCGGGAGCGTGTTGTCCGCGCCGAAGCCGTCCACCACGGCGGAGCCGTCGGCCAGGATCCAGAACTGGGCCGCCTCCGACGAGTTGAAGAGCGCCTTGGAGTTGAGCAGGAAGCGGCGGTTCAGCGGGTTGGAGCAGTGCGGCAGGCCGTGCAGCAGGAACACGTCGTTTTCTGCGGGCAGAAAGACTGTCTTAAACCCTGTCCTGTCGCTCCGGTGCGCTGTCTGTAGACCTTACAGGGTCACCGCTCTACCCCGTATTTTTTTTTTAAAAGGTAGACTAGCCCGCCCGCAGCTACCTCTCCAGTCCCCTCCCACCTCCCCCCTTCCCCGCTCCGTCTACCTAGTCTACCTTTTCAAAACTACGGGGCAAAGCGGCCACCCTGTATAGCAGTGCGACGACTTGCTCACCCTCGGCCTGCCCCGAGGGCCGGTGCTTGCTGGGCCCCCACTCCCGCCGCGCCTCCTGCGCGCGCCCCATGTTGTACAGCGCCGCCGAGGCCACGTCGCCGTGGTCCTGCTGCCGCAGCCGCAGCCTCCTGAAAGGGTGAGTTAGTTAGGCACCGAGCCTACCACCGCGCCGGGGGCACAGGGGACCAGCGAGGAACACTCACTGCTTGTCGACCTCGAAGAGCGCCTTGTGCTGCTCGAGGAAGCTGACGGCCAGTGGGTCAGTGCTGCAGCCTGTGTCGCCCTGGGCGTCCACCACGAGGACGGACCGCGGGTGGCAGCACTTGCGTACGCAGGACGCACCCTGGGCGGCGCACGGGCACAGCAGGATCACGAAGTAGGTGCTGTCGTCCTCGTCATCCGCACTCTCCGGGGCCTGGGTGTTCGTCTCCGTGGAGTTGGCCATCGCGCTCCGCCCCGCCCTCTCGTCCTCGACGGCGTCCTCCACGCCCGCCTCCACGTCCTCGTCCTCCTCCAGGGCCACGATGGGGATGGTGGTGAGCCGGTCCATGCAGAAGGTGCCCGCCGGGAAGAGGAAGGTGCGCTCGCCCTCGTCCCCAGTCACATCCACTCCCAGGTGCGGCGCTCGGAAGAGGTCCGGCCGGAACTGGTTGACGAGCAGCGAGCCGTTGGAGTAGAGCTGCACGTCGTCGTCCCAGAAGAGGAGCTCGGTGTCGTGCGGCGGGCACGGCGGCGGCGCGGCCAGCTCCACGCGGGGCACGGCCACCTGTCTGGACGGCGGCCGGCCCGCGTCCCGTGCCTGCGGACACATCGGGCCAGTGGTTTAAACAACACCGTTTAATTAAAAAAAGGCAAATCAAAACAACACACCTCCTCTTGATTTGTTTGTATTTGACGATCGCTATAATAACCAGGGAGGCAGGTTTTTTTTAACTATCGGGGAAAAAAACAGGATACAGCGAAGTCGCGAGTAGGCCGGCCGGCCGGCAGGGAGACGTGACGGGAGCACTTGGATGTTTCGACCTGCGACCCTGACGCTGAGCGCGCTGAGCACCGCGGCCCATGCAAAACGCTGCGGTTAATTAATAGTGGACACCTGTGGCTCTGCGGCTCGCGCCGGACACGGCCGGACACCTCCCAGGCGGCGCTCAAGCGCGCTGCGGCTCACGCTCCACCGTTTTAATTTCATGCATTCCAAAATAGCGTAACCTCCGAGGGGGAAACAACTGTTAAACTTTGTGTCAGCCGGATTACGGATTACCCGGATTACCTCCGGTGTGTCCTCCGGATTACGTTGCTTTTTCTCTAGGATTGCCCCGGATTACCCTAAAATTTCCCCGGATTACCCCAAAATTTCCCCGGATTACCCCGGATTTTGTAGAATTTCCTCGGATTACCCCTGCCGGATTACCTAGCGGCTGTCAGCCGGATTACCTTAGTCGTTTCCCCCTCGGTCACCTCGCTCCCTGATCCCGGTGGGACTCGAGTCGACTCACCGCCCGACGCAGGTCGTCCAGCGTCACCACCTCCATGCTGGTCGAGTCCATGATGACGGTGTCCTCCGGCAGCCAGCCCCAGTCCTCGACACCGCGCCGCACCCTGCCGTCCCGGGCCCCGTCCCGGGCCTCGTCCTGGACGTCGGTGGAGTAGACGGTGTCGGCGGGGCGCGCGCGCGTCCGCAGCGGCGTGCAGGTGCGCAGGTCAAGGGACAGCTGCTGGCCGGCGGGGCAGCACTTTCTGAACGTGCCGCTCGGCCCCGGGGCGCCAGCAGCGGACACCACCGCGACGGCGAGCGCCGCCAGCGCCAGCAGCAGCGCGGCCGGCGGCATCCTGGCCGCCCTAATCGCAGCAGCAGGTGGGTGGGTGTGGGCGGCCCGAGTAGGTCGGCGCAACGCCCGGCGGCGGCATCCTGCAACACGCAAAGCAGTGCTGAAACATGGACCGTCGTCGACTGCCTGCGCCGCTCTGGCGGACGGCCTCGGCGGGGGTTCGAACAAAGGGGGCGTTGTTGGCGAACGTGCAACGAGCGGAGCGGGGTCGGCTCATCTGGTTATTGAAGCTAGCGCAGCTAGCGCGCCGGCGGGCGGGGAGCAGAGCAGGTCCCCGAGGGGCCCGCCGCCCGCCCCGCGGCCAGCCCCGCGGCCAGCCCCGCGGCCCGCGCAGTAGAATGGCCCCCGCGAGGCGCACCGGGCGGGCCGGGAGTGCCTCCTAGGGTGCGCTGTTAGTTTGTTTTAGCAGCGCAGTCCGGGGCGGGCCGCTGCTGAACTCCGCAGCGTGCTCCTCAAGGCCGCGACCGCGCCCTTTTCTTACAAAATGCTTTACTCGGCAGCTGCGCCTTCCCTTCCGCGGCCACCCGGGGAACCCAAACCACGACCTAAGACATGCAACGAGTGTCCCTTTATAAAGGCACCAAAAAGAAATAGGTTAGCAGCCTTCGTGGGGACTTTTCCTTGCACGACAACCCATTTTGAAGGTCAACCTTTTACTGGTCGCCTAGAGATGCAAAATATCTATCTGTGCCCTGGTGATAGGTTTTAAACTTCTCGGGAAAGTAAAATCGTTCCTGGAAAAGTCGACACCTTTCTGGTAAAAGGTGGAAAAGTAGGGAAAGTTCATAATTAACTGCACTTTCAATGTGAAGGGGTCTTTTTGTTCCTAAAATGTAAACGTTTTCGTGCACATCCTAGCCGGTTGTAATTTTGTTCCGTGGCCTGGTGAGAGAGGCGCCACCCGGCGCGGCGTCTCTATTTTTGAACACCATCATCAGAACCACAAACACTTCTCCAGAGGCGAGCACTTCACCATTTGCGCCACGGAGGAGATGCCAGACCGGTCCTGGAACGTCTGACTTCACTTGTCACACGGCAATCTGGGGCACGAACGAGGGTACCCGGTACTTTAACCCCATGAGGCCGCTGGCCGCGTGCGTTGCGCGTTGCGTTGGTTGTGCGTCGCACACCATGCAGCGCCATGCGGCAAAGTGCGGCTGGTCCGGTCAGGTGTTTGGCACCACCGAGCAGCACCATTGGCAGCCTTACCTCTTCCTCCAGCCTCGACGCCAGCCAAGCGACTTCGAACGCAGAACGCAGGCCGTCGTTGACGTAACTGCAGGAGGACGTGCCCCCCCCCCCCCCTCTTTTCCACTGATCTCCCACGACCGCCTCTTTTGCCGCGTTCGTCTTTCGCATGGACAGTGGCTAAGCCGAATCACACGATTACCGCGCCATTTCATCCGTCCAACAACACCGCAGTAAAATGAGACAACGACACTGACTATGGACATGGCCGAGGGTTCTCTCTCAAGCAGTCGGCGACGCTGGGGCGTGTCTGCCACGCACAGCGTCCCTCTCAAAGAGGCGCGTCACGTCGAGTCCAGCACCAGACCTGGCCAGTAGTGGGGGGTGTCCAATCAAGGAAAAGCGCCAGATAAAAAGTATTTAAGGGGACACTATGGGGAAAAAAATGAGGACATTTTTGGTCTAAAAATCGCAGTTTTTGAAAGCTTCCCTGCGCAAAGCTATTAGAGATGGAACTTTGGGGCTCATATGCATTTAATGGTTAGGTATTCAACTTAATTTGCCGGCATTGTCAACAACAACGAAGATGTCTAAGCCACCCATACACGCCAAAGGTTCTAACTCCTGAAGAGTTTTCATGAGCTTCCTATTGGAAAATGTACTGAGGACACACTTGTTGTTTGGTTTTGATATCCATGCCGGGTTTTAATATCAGTGTATACTGGAACATTTTAACACAAGATTTGGCAATATAACTCAAACCAGTTTGCGCATGGAACTTTTCAAAGATAGGCCTTTTTTAACATGCTTAAAGATTTTCAAAACTTTGGGTGGCTCCTAAAATTCTGGGAAAGCTTGAGAAGGGCCTATTTTGTGAATGCTTTAAGAAATTAAAAAGGAAAGTGTTCGGAAACATAGGCTCCCAGACTTCCAAATTTCACCATAGTGTCCCCTTAATAACGCACACTCCCAAAAGCCCATTCTTGTTACAAGAATGCTGCGTTTGTCGTGATGCGAATTTACTCGCCTCAAGATAATGTATATGCTCACAGCAAGTACATTTACTTGAATCAAGTACATTTTCTTGTGACAAGAATAGGCTTTTCACGGTGCACAAGTACATGTACATGTACATGTACATGTACTGCAGTATTCTAACGAGAACCTGTCTGTGATCGTTGGCGCGCGTCTGAACAAAACATCTGCCCAGACTGGTGTCGAAAAGACATCGATGCCGGCCAAAGCCACAGAGATTGCAGGATTGCAGGGTTCCAGGGTGCGCCAATGCCGTCTGAGGGAGCTCAAGTTGAGCAGCTCATTCCAGCCGGGCGATTTCCAACGACCGGCGCCGACCCGGCGCCCCGCCCGGCAGCGCTTTGCATTGAATCATTATTATCATTACTCGTTCGCAGTAGTTGGGCGGCGCGCAGTGAGATACTTAGAATCACGGGAGCGGGGCAGAGGGGCGCGGCCCGGGGAGCAGGCCATAGCATGGCAGGGGCCGGCGGATCGTGAGCTACGGCTCGCGGTAAGTAAAGTAGTCGGACCGCGGGCGCGACCAGCTCGGGCACACTCGTAAAACAAAGGTCGAACATCGCACCTCTAACCCCTGCAAGCACAATATATCCTCGCAAAGGCACAAACATTTCGAGCAAATTGAAACTATTTATGAGCCTGTACAAAGGATTGGTCCGATTTTACTTAACACCCTGAAAGGTGCTGCGCATCGACCTTAACGTACCTTTTTGTTCTACACCCCAAAAACTGACAAGGAGACTTAAGTAAGTGTAAATTCCCGATTCGGTTCAAACTCGGTATATTTGCTTCTTATCTCTATACATGACTACTGCGCGTCAAAATTTGTGCTGAAGTTCATATGTCAAAACTCCCTATAGGGGCCTATAGTTCCCCAAAAATAAAAATGTCATGTAAAAAACAAAATTAAGTGATATCACGACTCAGAATGTGCGGTTTTGGGGGGGTAGTTCTTCTTACATTTTTCGATTTGAGAACGCCTTCCATGAGTTTATGTCGAATTTCTAAACTTTTTCCATAAAACGCTCCTATAAAGTACCCCGGGATGTGAACTTCAGCACAAAATTCGACCGGCGTTCGTCATCTACATAGCCAAGAAGCAAATATACCGAGTTTGAACCGAATCGGGAATTTACACTTACCTAAGTCTCCTTGTGAGTTCTTTGACCATGTACTGATCCTTGGTCCTTGATTTTTGAGTGTACCGGGTGATTCAGAGAACACGCCGCCGTGTTGCGGGTTGGCCTATCCTCGACTCGGTGGGCGCACGGGTGAGAGGTGAGGAGGGAAGGGGTCCCCTCCTTACCTCTCACCCGTGCGCCCGCCGAGTCGTGGATAGGCAAACCCGCAACACGGCGGCGCGTGCTCTGAATCACCCGGTATATGTCTTTGATTCAAATGATAGGTTCCTAAATAATCAAGGGATCAAGTACAATGTACTTCGTCCAAGAACTCAGTTTTTGTGTGTGTACCAGTGTACCGGCAGAAGGTCAGAACAGACAGGAGAGGCGGGCAGACGGACTTGGCGGAGTGGGGTTTACGATGTTGTGATGCGATTTTAAGTGAATTACCGGCCGAACTGTAGTACGTGTTGCGAGCGCCGCGCCGCGCGCCTTGCTGTCCCGGAGGTGTCCGAGCAGAGGTACGTGACTGGGAGGGACACCCGGAGG